ATCTGAGAAGGGGATGACGGACTATTTTTACGCGAAACGAGGAACTCTCATCTGTTAAAGATCCCGGTCGATCGGCGTCGGCCGGATTTCGGGAAATCTTTGTCCGCCGATGGGGCTACGTGACGCAGCATGTCGTTAACGAACCGATGGAGATCGGCAAACGAGCGTCCCGGCGCGATGGCGTCACGTGCACCGGAGGAGTGCTCGACACGTGTTTCGTGGACGGTGACCGGCGCTGCTGGACCCGCATCGCTCGGAGATCCACGGATACTTGAGCGTGCCGGCGTGGCCGACATCAAAGAAGCCCTCATTGATGCACGGAAAACAACGAGGAAATTCACCGGGCCATAACGAAAATAAACCGACGCGGAATCACTGGGCTACGAGTAAACAGAAATAGAACCGACGCTCGATCGTGGCCGACCATGCCTTTCGATCCGTGACATCGGCCCACGAATACGCTCCGTATCTTTAGAATGATTTCACCCTTTGCACTCGGAAGTATCTCGTTCGAAATGTTTCACATTTCCTCGCTGGACGGACGATATTTTTTTAAACGAACTCAATGAGACGTCGCGAGTGAAATGAGGAACAACGGTTTTTTATTCTGTTTCTCACATCGATGCATTATGTGCAATATTGAATATCGAATTTTATAGTTTTATATGAAATTAAGTGGTAATTGAGACCTTTCGAGTGCAAAGGGTTAAAAGTATTGAAAGAACATTGATCACAAGTTAACCCTTGAGGTTTGACTCACCACCTGATTTCACAGTGAAACTATGAAATTTGATATTTAATATTGTATCTTGTATAACTCATCGATTTGAGAAATATTGAAATAAAATAGCTTTGTTCCTCAATATATGTATGTTTTCTTTCCGAGATAGTTTCACAAAATATCGTCTTTATCTCGTCAGAAAGTGTTAAAATGTTTCTAGCGAAAAACTTGAGTTGATTGTAATTGTTTGCAGAGTTTTATGGTATAGATCGTTAATTGTAAAAGTTGATTGAAGTATTATTATATTAGTTGACACCAGAATTTTCTTGCGATTCTTCTGGACAACTGGGTAGCGAATTATGTGTTTACAAGTGATTAACCAAGGAGACTTTTAATGCTGCGCGTTAATTACAGTGTAAATTTCATTCTGTGTAAATTAATTTGTTGGTATACATCACGACCGAGTGGCTGCAGTGTTGTAAATTGAACTGGCATAAATTTCGGGACGAAGCCAGTAGCAATTCACGTCTCCAACGACCGTCGACTTGCAACAATAAAAAATTACTTCAAACGCCTGGGTCCAATAAATCAGACTCAACGTAATATTTTTAACACTCGCACCGACGGAGCGGCGTTCATAAAAATTCCGTGAAGTCGTAATAGGTTTTTTCCAAAAGAACCGGGAATAAACAAGCCAATGTTCATCGTAAAAGTTCTTCCTTTTTACGATCACGAATCTTATGTGTCCTAACTAAATTTCTTTCGCGATAAAAACTCCGGATAAAAAGTAGCACTCGTACACGAGCAATAGGACAGTCGGAGTGTTAACTGGTTACGTGATATATTCAGCTGCGGGTTTCAGTAACAATTGATCGGTGTTGGTTATAGAAACAATTGTGCATTCATTGAAATTTTGATCGACTCGTATGTTACGAATTAATAATTTCTCATTAACATCTCACTAAATTCTCAATAATTCCTCAACAATCTTATGCTAATTTCTCACTAACTCCCAATAATTCCTCAACAAACCCATACTAATTTCCCACTAATTCCCAATAATTCCTCAACAATCCCATACTAATTTCTCACTAATTCCCAATAATTCCTCAACAAACCCATACTAATTTCCCACTAACTCCCAATAATTCCTCAACAATCCCATACTAATTT